AGTGATACAAGATCATTAACGACTGCAAGAACTTGGACTTGTTTCTAAGATCGTAAACATCTCTCAATTCTCAACTTTGTCAGCGGGAAATATTTCTTAACCCACAAAGGTTCCAGCGGTAATCACCTCCCGGGAGTTAATTAGTTGATTAAAAGACTGCTAATGACTTGATGTTTGTTTGTGTGATTCGTCTTTGTTTTTAGCGTAGTCTGAGTCTTGATTGGTTTTCCCTCGTCCAATGAGGAGCGGTCATCTGGTGCACTCTGAGGGTCACTCACTTCTCTCACCGGAATTTACCTGAGGGGCCACTAACACTCTATAGTGGCCTCCAGGAGGACAGAAAGCCGGCGGCTTGGCAAAGGCCCCCAATTAGTCCTGATAATTTTTTTCAACCAGGCTTATAAAGTTAACAGAGTTTTTGGCATCAACAACTTGGGCGGGTAGGCGGTTCCATGGGTTTATAACCCCTGTGGGTGAAGAAACCTCTCTTGTTCTCAGTCCAACATTGTGGCTTGTTGAGCTTGTCACTGGTGTTCCTTGTTTGTACTCACCTAGTTGTGCTTGCGGGGGTTGAGCTTTGGCTCTTTGGTCCCGCCTCTCAACTGTCAATCAACTGGTGTACAGGTTCCTGAGCCTACTGGGCTCTATCATATCTACATTATAAACTGTGTATGGAGTCAGCCTCCACCACATTACTGCCTAATGCATTCCACCTGTTAACTACTCCCACACTGAAAAAGTTCCTTCTAACGTCTCTGTGGCTCATGTGGGTACTCAGTCTCCACCTGTGTCCCCTTGTTCGTGTTCAACCCATTTATGATGTGACGACTTACACTGAATTTTGTAACTAGCTCATCAAGATTGTAACTTGCTTAGCTAAATGAATTGTGGGGTTCAGTCCCTGAGCCCATTATGTGCCTCTGTAACCCTTGCCACTACCGCCCACAAGATGGGTATGGGGTGCATAATAAATTAACTAAACTAAAAAAACTAACTTTGTCCATCCTTTCAATTTCCCTGAGAATTTTGTAGGTGGTTATCATGTCTCCCCTTACTCTTCTGTTTTCCAGGGGCGTGAGGTTCAGTTCCTTTAGCCTTTCCTCGTAGCTCATGCCTCTCAGTTCCGGGACGAGTCTGGTGACATACCTCGGAATCTTCTCTAAATTTGTCTCGTGTTTAACTAGGTATGGACTCCAGGCTGGAGCTGCATATTCCAGTATTGGTCTGACATAAGTGGTATACAGGGTTCTGAAAGATTCCTTACACAAGTTTCTAAAGGCAGTTCTTATGTTGGCCAGTCTAGCATATGCCGCTGATGATATCCTTCTGATGTGGGCCTCTGGGGACAGGTTCGGTGTGATATCAACCCCCAGATCCTTTTCTCTATTTGACTCTTGCAGGATTTCACCTCCCAGATGGTACCTTGTGTTCAGCCTCCTGCTCCCTTCGCCTAGTTTCATTACTTTACACTTTCCTGAGTTGAACTTTAGCAGCCATTTTCTAGACCATTCCTCCAGCCAGTCCAGGTTGACCTGTAGTCTCTGTCTATCGTCACCTGTCCTGATTCTTCTCTTAATTTTTGCATCATCAGCAAACATTGAGAGGAACGAGTCTATACCCTCTGGAAGATTGTTTACATATATTAGAAACAGGATGGATCTAAGTACAGAGTCCTGTGGGACTCCGTTGGTGACATCTCTGGTTGGCTGGCTTGTTGAGCTTGACACTTGTTCCTTGTTTGTGTTACATTGTGGCTTGTTGAGCGTGACACTGTTGTTCCTTGTTTGTGTTACATTGTGGCTTGTTGAGCTTGTCACTGTTGTTCCTTGTTTGTGTTACATTGTGGCTTGTTGAGCTTGTCACTGTTGTTCCTTGTTTGTGTTACATTGTGGCTTGTTGAGCTTGTCACTGTTGTTCCTTGTTTGTGTTACATTGTGGCTTGTTGAGCTTGTCACTGTTGTTCCTTGTTTGTGTTACATTGTGGCTTGTTGAGCTTGTCACTGTTGTTCCTTGTTTGTGTTACATTGTGGCTTGTTGAGCTTGTCACTGTTGTTCCTTGTTTGTGTTACATTGTGGCTTGTTGAGCTTGTCACTGTTGTTCCTTGTTTGTGTTACATTGTGGCTTGTTGAGCTTGTCACTGTTGTTCCTTGTTTGTGTTACATTGTGGCTTGTTGAGCTTGTCACTGTTGTTCCTTGTTTGTGTTACATTGTGGCTTGTTGAGCTTGTCACTGTTGTTCCTTGTTTGTGTTACATTGTGGCTTGTTGAGCTTGTCACTGTTGTTCCTTGTTTGTGTTACATTGTGGCTTGTTGAGCTTGTCACTGTTGTTCCTTGTTTGTGTTACATTGTGGCTTGTTGAGCTGGTCACTGTTGTTCCTTGTTTGTGTTACATTGTGGCTTGTTGAGCTGGTCACTGTTGTTCCTTGTTTGTGTTACATTGTGGCTTGTTGAGCTTGTCACTGTTGTTCCTTGTTTGTGTTACATCTGACCTTCAGAAGTGGACCGGATCAACATCCTCCAAACTGTTCAGTATATAAGAAGTTACAATGAGGTCGGCCGTGTCATGCCTGGTGGGTAGTGTTGTCAGCCCTGTGGCCCTCAACCCGTCCTGGTGGGTAGTGTTGTCAGCCCTGCGGCCCTCAACCCGTCCTGGTGGGTAGTGTTGTCAGCCCTGCGGCCCTCAACCCGTCCTGGTGGGTAGTGTTGTCAGCCCTGCGGCCCTCAACCCGTCCTGGTGGGTAGTGTTGTCAGCCCTGCGGCCCTCAACCCGTCCTGGTGGGTAGTGTTGTCAGCCCTGCGGCCCTCAACCCGTCCTGGTGGGTAGTGTTGTTAGCCCTGAGGCCCTCAACCCGTCCTGGTGGGTAGTGTTGTCAGCCCTGCGGCCCTCAACCCGTCCTGGTGGGTAGTGTTGTCAGCCCTGCGGCCCTCAACCCGTCCTGGTGGGTAGTGTTGTCAGCCCTGCGGCCCTCAACCCGTCCTGGTGGGTAGTGTTGTCAGCCCTGTGGCCCTCAACCCGTCCTGGTGGGTAGTGTTGTCAGCCCTGTGGCCCTCAACCCGTCCTGGTGGGTAGTGTTGTCAGCCCTGCGGCCCTCAACCCGTCCTGGTGGGTAGTGTTGTCAGCCCTGAGGCCCTCAACCCGTCCTGGTGGGTAGTGTTGTCAGCCCTGTGGCCCTCAACCCGTCCTGGTGGGTAGTGTTGTCAGCCCTGCGGCCCTCAACCCGTCCTGGTGGGTAGTGTTGTCAGCCCTGCGGCCCTCAACCCGTCCTGGTGGGTAGTGTTGTCAGCCCTGCGGCCCTCAACCCGTCCTGGTGGGTAGTGTTGTCAGCCCTGCGGCCCTCAACCCGTCCTGGTGTGAGAGGTGACTTAGCTCTGGAATTATTTTGTTGCCCGGTGTTGCACTTTCTCCAGAGCAACAATGTCCTCCTGAAGACGAAGTCTCTGTGATTGGATACAGTATTCCAAATGGGGAGCACCAGAGCACCATACAATTGAATGACTACCTTCTTTTCCTTGAAGTCAAATGTACGATTGATTATTGCAAGAGTTTGGTTAGCATTTTTTGTATTGCAGATGGCAATTGTTGAGCAATTGTTGTACAAGTGACTTGAGAATGGTCCAGGACGGACCGAAACGTCGTCGTCCCTTCACCTTCTAGTGTGTGGTCTGGTAAACAAAAAATTGTTGAGCAAATTTCAGTGAATGATGGATGCTCACTGCAAGGTCCCTTTGCTTGTCAGTCAAGGAAGGTAGTGTTATTAATGTGGTAGTTGTGGCGTGGGTCGTTACGCCCCCACATGCAGCGTCTCGCGTCTCTCTATATCACAACAACCTGCCAGTCTTGTGGCCGTGTGTTGGTCGCTTAGAGACACGTTCCGCAGAACTAAGAGACTGCTGTCTCAGTATCCTCACCTCAGTTAATGGAGGTTTGGAGCAAGTATATGATATCTTGATATAGTTGCTACAGTTAGTATTATTAAAGGGCATTTGTCACTTATCTGACCATTCATATATGGACTTTATGTAGATTTTAGTTCAGTATTCAACTACTAGAGGGCGATCGAAGCCAGCCACTACCTTACTGACCAACCAGCAAATACACTTTATAGTTAGGTATATACTCTCAGTGTATATACACAGAGGAATGTGTATAGAGGGCCAGGTGAATATATATATAAACATGAAACAGCATATAAACCCATGGAATTATACATAAACCAATGGAACCGCCTACCCACCGAATCCGTAAATGCCAAAACTGTTAAATTTTAAAATTTATCTGGAAAAGATCATCAAGACAAATGGAGGGGACCTTCGACAATCTGGCGGCTTCCTGTCCTCGTTGAGGTTCCTAGTGTTAGTGGCCCTCAGGTAAATTCAGGTAAATATCAGGCAGGAACCGCCTACCCGCCGAAGCCGTAAATGCCAAAATTTTGTTAACTTTTAAAGTACAGCTGGAAAAGTTTATCAGAACCAATGGGGGGGGGGGACCTTCGACAAGCCACCGGCTTCCTGTTCTCGTCGAGGCCACTAGTATTAGTGGCTCTCGGGTAAATTGAAGTAAATATTAGGTGGGAACCGCCTACCCGCCAAAAGCGAAAATGCCAAAACTTTGTTAACTTTTAAAGTACAGGTGGCAAAAATCCTCAGGGCAAATAGGGGAAGCTTCGACAAGCCGTGGGCTTGCTGTCGTGGTGGAGGGCAGTGGTATTAGTGGCCTGAGGTAGTGTATAGTGAAGGTTGCGGGTGTCGGGCGTCACGTGTCAGGGCGGCCGGCCACGCACCGCTGTGTTGTCCCGCGTCAGCTGTCACCTCCCAGCTGACCCGCGCGCCGCCTCTACCCACGCCAGGTCTTATTTACTGACTTTTCTATGTGTGTCCCCTAGTGATAACTGGCCCCAGTGCCACCTGGTGCCCCGTGAAGGTGCCAGGAGGCCGCCCAGGGCGGGTTAAGGGTGGTTTAAGGGCTGTAAAGGGTGTTGAGGGAGTTTGTTTACCAGGGAGAGGGAGGACGCCGGCCCTCGACCAATGGGCGCCCGACACCTGCACCCGGCTGGCTAATATTACACCAGTCACCTGTAGGAGGCTCCTGTAGCAGTGAGCCGCCTCGCCCTAGGCCAACGGAACTGGGAATTCAGCAGTTTAGGTCAGCTTGAGGTAGGACGGGGTTGGGATAAGTCGCCCCGGTGGCAGGTCCCTCCTATCCCAGTTACGGGACAGGGGCGCCTAGTTAGGCTCGTTGACGGCCCTCCCATTCCTATCTACGTGACATCCTACAGGATGATAGCCACAATAATGTCCTAACTCCCTGCTGCTACATATTGCTAGGTGAACAGAGGTACCAGGTGAAAAGGAAAAAATAGTGGTCAAATGTGTGTCCTGCTGTAGGACCGGAACCAGGAACTGTCATCGCCCAGAACCCAACACCGTTGTATATCATGTTCATATCCTTTTCACTGTTATAATGGCATGCCAGGTAAACCCCAAGCATCAATTGAAACATGTTACTGAAACATTCGTGTTAGGGGAGTCATCAAGTTACAAACACCCACACACACTCAGGCGAGTAGTGGCTGAGTGGACAGCACTCTAGACTCGTGGGGACCGGGGTTCGATCCTCCGGCACCGCCGGAAAAACAAATGGGCAGAGTTTCCTTCACCCTGATGCACCTGTTACCTAGCAGGAAATGGGTACCTGGGAGTTAGACAGCTGTTATGGGCTGTTTCCTATGTGTGTGTGTGTGTGTGTGTGTGTGAAAAAAAGTAGTTGGTAACAGTTGATTGACAGTTGAGAGGCGGGCCAAAAGAGCAGAGCTCAACCCCCGCAAGAACTAGGTGAATACAACTCTGTGAATACACACACATACACTGTACTATTATTTATACCACCGCGATCTCCACCTCTCCGACCTACCCTCACCTTCATCTCGCTGACTGTACCCTAACCTTCAACTGTGTGAAATCTTTGGGTATAGTCACTAAGTGAATTTTTTTTCAATTTATTATTATGGGCAACTTTTCCCTGGGTCTGTCAACTCTGGCTATGATTGCTAAGCAAATAGTAATAATAATACTCTGCACATCCCTTGTCTCACCAAATCTGTGAACACTTGTTCAGTGAAGCACCAGGGAGTAAATCCTGCCTGGAAAGTGTGCATTGCAACTGTAGACTCTAAATTGAAGTTGCACTTTCTGTATATATATTAATTATAAGTAAAGTAAAGCATTGAGAGAACTCTGTCAATGATATACTAAGAATGTCCAAGAATTTAGCCAAGGATGACATGCTAAGTATCCCAGTGTAATATTTTTGGATTGCAAACGGAGGTGGCACTGGGGATGTAAGTGGCAGTGAATGGTAAGAATGTTTGTATTTAAAGCTAATGAGCTCGTCCAACCACTTGCGGTGGACAGTAGTGACGGTCTCACTTTATACAGGCCGGCGTTCAAACCCTGACCCTCAAAGTGGTTGGACACCATTCCTTTCACCCCGTCCCATCCCAAATGCTTATCATGACCTGTTCCAAGTGCTATACAGTCGTAATGACTTCGCGCTTTCTCTTCTTCCCTCCACTTGAACAATTTTCTGGGATACGAGTAGTCATGAGCTTAGACAACCACTTGGACTGGTTGGTAGGGCGACAACCATGATGGTTGCAGTGTTGGCGCTAGATGGTCCAAGGGGTTGTGCCCCCCCTCCCCCCACCATTCCTTCACTCCGTCCTCATATCCCAGGTCCCTTGCCCACAAATCCCAGGTCCTCATATCCCAGGTACCTTGCATGTGCTATATACTTACACTAGCTTACTGCTTTCTTCTCATAATTACCTTATCTTAAAGAAGTCCTTATTACACTTGTGCTAATGTCTTGTGTTTATTTCCAGTGCAAGATGTCTGTTCCAATATTAAATTATCGGACGCGAGGATGGATGCGCATGTCAGTTGAGAAGCAAGACACACTGCTCAAGATGGCAGTTCTCTCTCTGGCTGCAATTCTGTGTATGTATTGTTTTGAATACTGGGACTTGTGTCTTGGTTTTAGAATTACTCATTTTATAATTTGTCACAAATTCTGCTTTGATATTTAGTAATATTTTGCAACACTGATTGTTTTATTTTTAATGATGGGTTATGTTATGCACAGCACTGTGTAGTGTAACATAATTCTTTTTTTTCCATTTAACTTTTTGCAAAGAATTGTATGGGGAAATGTGTTGTATTAAAGACCAAGATTTTTTTTATATATATTTTTTTTATTCCCCATGAAGTTGAACCTGGTCTTTGTCTGTTGATTGGGATCCATTGGGGTCCACAGGCCACTTCAAGCAACAGCACTCTACAGTGCCTGTATTCTTTGTCGAACTTCCTGTATAACCACCATTTTCTAGGTTCAGCAGATGGTTTAGTCAGTCTTGGCTTATTTGTGTGTGTCTGCAAGATGCTTACTGGCATGTTCTGAAACCCCCCCCCCCCACAGTTCAGGGATTGACTGGGTTCAAAGTGGGGGACACATCTGCTGTTATTTTTGGGCTCTTCCATTTAAGCTGAATTTAGCACCTAAAATCTTATATTGAACGCAATATTGAACTCAAAATAGTGACACGAATATAACTGTACCTCTATTCTACACATTCTGTGATAACAAATAACTGATACTCTTCTTTTGGGCTGCCATTTTTGGGCCCCATATAAACTTAATTTTGCCCCTTGAATCTTACAGTGAATGCAATATTGAACTCATTAATGACATGAATATAGCCATGTGTACCTCTATTCTACATGTTCGCTGATATCGGTAACATTTGTTTCGCGAGAAGGTTATTACAGCTTTTACCCAGCAGGTGTTGATCTTCACGCGTGCATTGAACACACGAATATACTGCATTTGGGCTTTGCATTGTGAAAAGTGGGCAGGTATTAAAGTATACTCGGGCAAGAAATATAACAAATTTACTTCCCAAAAAAGAATTTAACATAATTTACATCAAAGCTTGACTTACAAATGTTGGCTGTTACACAATAGCAAATAATGAAAAGAACACATGAAAGGTAAAGTTAAATTAAACAATTTTAGTAATGCAAACAAACAAACAAACAAAAAAGTGGCTTATGAATATGTCCACAAACCATCACAAACTGGGCATGCAATGGCTTGCAGGCAGAATATGGGCAGCAAGCAGTGATGACCCGAGAGCACCTGGAGACACTGGCTTAAGGTAGCCGGCTCGGATACTTTTGATATCGTTCGCCTTAAGCGTTTTTGTTCTCGTATTGGCATCCTTGGTGATATTTAGCGCCCTCTGATTATTCCGCACATTTGATGGTGCCACATAGCCTTCCCGGTTTGGTGCCTTCTTTTGATAATTACTTACTTAACCCTCAAACCGCTAGGGGCCCAAATGGAATTCACACCCACAGGCGCAACAAAAAAAAAAATTCCAAAAAATTCTTTCGTCTTATAGAAGTGTTCATTTTTGTTCCCTGATCACGGAAAAAATAACAAAAAAATCGTAGGTGGCATATTTTAGCCGCAATAGGGTAGGGAAGTGTGGCAAAAAAGGGGCGTTGGCAGAGCCTTCGCCAGATGAGTTCTACTCCGCCCGAGCTGTCAGACGGCAGTTGCCGCAAATATATTATTACCTAATTATTTCAATGTCTCTGGTTGATTTTTTCTTAGTTTTTTTGCAGTAATATTATTCCATACAGTGAATTGTGGTATATTTATATTATAAAATGTGTGAACCATCGCTGTACTCAAAATTATAGTGTGCATATTAGTGATTCAATTATGTTCATAAAACAATAAACAAATAGTTTTGCTGTTGTTACACTATATACACAGGTTATATGCGAACAAGCCTGAATGGTCCCCAGGACAATATGCAACTGATTATATATAATATAAGGTTATATATAATACAGGTTATATATAAGTATTTGCATGTTTTGTACACCATAACGAACTACTAAGTTGGTCTTGTGAGTCAAAAAGCAACGAGGAGTGACAGCCAAACACCAGCGAGCCACTCTCTGCCACTCCCTCCCTCAACACCACCTCACTCACCCTCATTCACCTCCCACAATACTCTTTTGTATTTATTCACTATACACAGACGTTATATATACGTATTTACATGTTTTGTTCACCATAACTGTACATCTAAGCTTGTATGGTGAGTGAAGGCCATAAGACGTAGCTACTCAGTCAGCTGATCGGCGGCCGCCCTCAAGGCCAGACGCACTAATATTTGTCATCCAACAATATTGTTTGTGGTGTTATTACGCTATATACACACATTATATATAAGTATCTACCTGTTTTATTCACTATACCTGAACAAATAAGCTGGTATGGTGCCCAAAGACCATAGTGGCCATCAGTAAACACCATGCCAAGTCGTGCAGACGACGCTCCTCCCTCACCAAAATGGCGGCTCCCAACCTACTCCTCTCGCTGTTATCTCACACTATACACACGTTATATATAAGTATCTACATTTGTGTTCACCATGGCGAACCACTAAGCTGGTATGGTGAGTGCAGTCAATAAATGGTGGCCACACACAGTCAGAAGATGACGCCACAACCCTCCCTCCCACAGCCTTACTCCTCCCTCCATGAAGCACAGCGCTAAATATCACCACAATCCTGCTATTATCAGAATCCTGGTCAGTTTTATCACAGTCAGGGGGCTTCAGTAATACTATCACTGCTAAATAATAGCAGTATCATTTATATTATGATATTTGTAGGCGATGCTGTGGTCACAAGCTGAACAGCGGTGCTGTGAGCTCGTGCTGCGTGCGCCAGCCTTGGTGGCTTGCTCAATACTGACGCTGTAACACCCAAGAATGTTGGCCTGGATTTTTTTTCTAGGTGGCATCTGGCAACTATCGGTCGTGGCTGTACTATAGTTGCCCCTATCCCAGGCGGGGAGTTTAAATTATAGCGCTAGACACGAAATCATATATAAATGATGTGCGCGGTTTCGGTTTTGTCACTGATATCATTTATATATGATATGCGTGGTTTGAGGGTTAAGGTAGCCGGTCGGGCCCTATACTATATATGCCTATACCGGTGACTTCACATCCTGTGTCAGCTTTTCTAAATGAGGAGCGGCGAGACAACTACTGTCTGGAGTCTCTGTGGTGGTGGTGGTGGTGGGGGGAAGGGGATGCCTTGTGGCTGGAGCATCTAGCATGTCTGCATGTCTGGGACGCCACCACATACGTAGATATTGAAACGTTATACTTGCTGCTGATGAATTTTTGTCGTGATGAAGATGTCGTCGTGATGATGTCGACGTGATGAAGATGTCGACATGATGAAGATGTCGACGTGATGAAGATGTCGTCGTGATGAAGATGTCGTCGTGATGAAGATGTCGTCGTGATGAAGATGTCGTCGTGATGAAGATGTCGTCGTGATGAAGATGTCGTCGTGATGAAGATGTCGTCGTGATGAAGATGTCGTCGTGATGAAGATGTCGTCGTGATGAAGATGTCGTCGTGATGAAGATGTCGTCGTGATGAAGATGTCGTCGTGATGAAGATGTCGTCGTGATGAAGATGTCGTCGTGATGAAGATGTCGTCGTGATGAAGATGTCGTCGTGATGAAGATGTCGTCGTGATGAAGATGTCGTCGTGATGAAGATGTCGACGACGAAGGCGAGAGGGAAGAGGCAGTTTACCCTGCTTTGCAAGGGAATTGTGCGACACATTATTGAAAGCCTAATGCATCATTCCACTTGTATAAAACCCTTGATAAAAACTTAAAAAACAAAGAGAATACTGTATTATGTATACAGTGCATGCAGCTACAGATTTGTGTTAAATATGCACTTGCCAAAACTGCTTAGTTGTTCAAATGGTCCCTAAAAATTTAATTATAACAAAATATATTATTATAACATTCAATTATAAATAAAAATTTAATTTATAACATTATGTAAAGTAGTGTATAATAGAATAACAGCAACAACAGTTTTATTGTTCATAGAATATAGTATTGTCCTTATATTAGTGACAAATGTGTACATTTCTATGTTCAACATGTTCTTTGATACAAATAGCATTATTGACCTCCCAATTCATTATTCCACATGAAAACAGAAGATAAAAGCATTTAGACACACAAAGAAAATATAATATAGTGAGTGCATGCAGTTCCAACTTTGCAAAACACGCGGTAGGCTGAACTCTATGTAACTGGTTACAAGATTGCTACACCCCACCAGAACCACTCAATGGTTCATAATGGTGCGTGCAATGTAGGTAGTTACATGTAAAATATATATGCAGTGTAATAACAGCAAGAACGGTGTTTTATTATTCTGAGAATATAATACAGTGGTACCTCGGTTTAAGAGTTTAATTCGTTCCTGGAGACGGCTCGTATTCCGAAAACTTGTAATCCGAAGCTAATTTCTCCATAAGAAATAATGGGAAATGAAATAATCCGTTCCTGACTACCCAAAAACCTCACTTCAAACTAAATTTTATACCTAATTCATCTAAATAAACCTACAAAACTATGTTCCAGTTATTACTTACCTTGCTGTTGAATGCTGTAGGTGTATGGAAGATGGTGAGGAGGGGGGGGGAGGAGGAGAGGTGTTACTGTTTGGAAGGGGAGTCCCCTTCCATTATAACATCAGGCAGTGAGGACCTTTCTGGTGTGCACTCCCTGGCACGTTTTATCCGAGTGCCACCAGGTCCTGGTTGTGGCTCACTGCTCGATTTTCTCAACAAATCTGTCCATGGAAGCTTGTTTTTCCTTCTTCGCAAGCTGTCTCTGTAGTAAGGCATCACATTGTCATTGAAAAGATTAAAGTAACGGCCTACTACAGCTTTCTCTGGGTGAGTCTTTTCAATCAAAGTTTACATCTCTTCCCACATCTGACACACCTTATTTCTGCAGAAGGGACATTTGCTGCTGCCTCATCCTCCTCCACTGGAGAAACATCCTCAGCTGTGTCTTCTTGCTGTTCCTTTTGAAGGGCTTGGAGTTCTTCGGTGGTCAGTTCTTCGTTGTGTTCTTCCACCAACTCCTCCGCATCATCACCATCCAATTCCAAGCCCATTTGCCGGCCCAGAGTAACAATTTCCTTAACAATAGGCACATCATTTACAGGCTCAAACCCCTCAAAGTCTAGTTTTGTCACACATTCAGGCCTCAATTTTCTCCAGCCAGAGATCAGGGTTCTCTGAGTCACTTCTTGCCAGGCTTTGTCAATGAGTTTTAAAGCACTACAAATGTTAAAATGGTGTTTCCACAACTCTTTGAGGGTGAGGTTTGTGGCTTCAGTCACTTCAAAACATTTCCGGAAAAGTGCCCTTTCATACAGTTTCTTAAAATTCGCTATGATTTTCTGGTCCATAGGCTGAATTAGAGGATTAGTGTTAGGAGGAAGAAACTTTATTGTGAAAAATATACTGTATCTGTGCATCAATTCATCTTCCAATCCTGGAGGGTGAGCAGGAGCATTGTCGAGGAGAAGCAGGGCCTAGAGTGGCAAATGTTTCTCCTGCAGATATTTTTCTATGGCAGGACACACCACTTCATTCACCCACTCTGAAAAAAAAATCCTAGTCACCCATGCCTTTTTATTTCCCTTCCACATCACACACATTTGGTTTTTCTGCACTTTATACTGTTTGAAAACCCTTGGATTTTCAGAATGATACACTAGCAAAGGTTTAATTTTCAAATCGCCACTCACATTTGAACACAGCACAAGCGTAAACCTATCTTTCATAGGCTTGTGTCCGGGCAAGGATTTTTCCTCCTTGGTAATGTATGTCCTCTTAGGCAGTCTTTTCCAAAACAGTCCTGTTTCGTCACAATTAAACACTTGTTGCGGTAGGTATCCCTCAGCCTCTGCAAACTCTTTAAATTCTTCAATAAGTCGTTCAGCAGCTGGTTTGTCTGAGCTGGCTGCCTCCCCATGCCTTGTAACACTATGGATACCACTTCTTCTAAATTTTTCAAACCATCCCCTGCTTGCCTTAAACTCTCTCGTATTTGCATCACTCGTTCCAGGGGTTTTCTTTACAAGGTCTTCGTGCAATACCCTGGCTTTCTCTCAAATAATGGCCTCCGAAACACTATCACCCTTTAACTCTTTGTCGTGTATCCAAATTAATAACAACTTTTCTACTTCAAGTATTTGTGGTGTTTGTTTCGGGAATGTTCTTATGCCTTTTGCCACATTAGCACTCATAATGTCATTTTTCTTGCTAAGTATAGTGCATATTGTTAACGTGGCTTTGTTGTACTGTCTACAAAGTTCAACAACACGTGTACCATTTTCATGCTTCCGAATGATCTCTTGTTTTTCCTCTATTGTCATCCTCACGTGAGCTTTCTTGCCTTGATCCTTACCACTGGCTTTCTTGGAACCCATGGTGAGATATATAATAACAACTTTTATGGTCAAATGACCAAAAATCCAACAAAACACTGAAAATCTGGGAGAAGAATTGACGTGGGATAGTCACTGGGCGCGAGGCACTGGTAAACTGAGGGGTGAGGGGCGACGATCACCGTACCACCACGCGCTATGTCGGCTTGTACACGTATCGACAAACTCGCGTTTCGAGGAAACCCTTGCCTTCCGAGGCACATTTTCCGAGCAAGTCCTCGTATTCTGAAAAACTCGTATTCAGGGACACTCGTATTCCAAGGTACCACTGTATTATATAGTGCATGTACTAGTGACAGATATATTTGAGGATTTTCATGTTATACACATTTTATTATATAAATTTCTCAAATGACACATGAATAGTACTGTAATGTAAAAATCTGAAAAACAAATTAGAGACATTTGGAATAAATACTGTATATGCAAATATGTTGGCGGCAACTCCTGCCCCACGACAGAGCCGGGGTGACTGCCTCGGGGTGATTGCACCGTGAATGTTAGTGAATTGTGATGTCAGTGTGAGATCTCCATACTTCACCATGACTGAAGTATACTTCATGCACATAATTTTATAAGCATCACACATATAATTTATTTTTGTATTTTTTCCATGATAGGTTAATGCATTATTTCCAATGCAGTATTAGAAAGAGAAAATTATTTGAATTCATTTTGTTGCACACTTGGGGTTGTGAGCTATCAACAGATGTAGTACAGGGGTTAAACATTTTACCAGCTTTAAAAATTTGCAAGCCTGTGCTATTGCTTATAAAAAAAACAGGTGATTGGGAATTGGTGAAACCTGTAAGAGTGTTTAATAAATAAAACCCACCTTGCCATGATTAGGGAAAGATGTACAAGGTTGGCAAGTGGTTACTTGGGTACTTGGCACATACTGGCCGAGGTCGGTGGGGAGCTTGGGTACAGTAGGTTAGGATAGGAGGCTCGGACGAGTAATGTCAAATGCTTGCATTAATAATTTGTTTCTTTTCAGCATTTTCGTGCAGGTTGTTTTCTGTTCTTCGGTTTGAGTCGGTTATCCATGAGTTTGATCCGTACTTCAATTACCGCACCACCAAGTTTTTGGCCGAGGAAGGCTTCTACAATTTCCACAACTGGTTTGATGATCGAGCATGGTATCCACTGGGCAGAATTATTGGAGGCAAGTAATTCTTAGCTTTTGCATGGCATTGTTTAAACGCACATTCCCTGTAATTCTTTAAGATGCAAGTACAGTATATAACACATTTTTTTTTGCTTAAATATGTCAAAGCTCTTTGTTCTTAAGAGAAAAACAACTTGTAAATGCACATTCCAGTCTTAAGAAAGTGATTACTGTATTAATGAGTAAATATTGTCATATAACGATGAGATTGAACTTGCATCCTTGGACTCCCAAAACACACACATGCTCTACCGACTGAAACATTAGGAGCTCAGTCGGCAGCCCAGGAATGTAGGTTCGGTATCATCATACTGGATATATATTTTCTCAACCTGTCGGTTTTTTTGTTTTATTTCATTTCGGGAGAGGCTAAATAGTGGCTCCCATTAGCTAGCACCAAGTCGGTAGCTTCACACATGTGTCACATCAGCCTTAGGAGTCTTTAATAGCCTATTGGAGACCAGAGCCAGAACCTCTCCACCCTTTAAAGAGGTGCAGGGAGCAGGAAATTATGATCCTTCTTAGAAAGGAATCAATCCAGAGAGTAAGTGTAGTAAAACAGACAACTGTGTGGTTCACAGAGAAACGAGAAGTAAAGCGGCAAATGACTCTACAAATGAGCCACTCGGTGGTCAGTTCAAACTCCTCTGGTGTCAGCTGACCACTTGCACCTTGTTGGAGCCTGGCCTCAGGCTGGGCTTGGGCAGTAGGAGAACTCTGAGAATGAAGAACTCCCACATTGCTCTAGGAATGCTATATGGCAGTCCCACAGAGGAGCTGCCGGCTCCCACGATGACATACTCGAGTCCTTTCATTGAGGTTGACCTGTGTGGACCAGTCCTCGAGTCGCTGACTTTAGCGGGCCCAAGCTTTTTATAGATAAACATCAACCATTGTTTGAAGCCTGTCCTGTTGGGGCCATTTGCTTGCGTATTGTTTCCAAGTGTAGTGTTTGCTTCTTGTGCGCTTGTTTACAAACCTTGCTTGTTGTGTGGTCTTTGGTAACTGTTAATTTTGAACTGCTTATAATTAGGGCAGTCGTACTGTAAGCACTCATCTAATGCCTCTGCCCTAACAAAAGTGACTTCTTCGGGAGTTTGTTCCCTAGAGGCCAGACTACCTTGTAGAGTGCCTTGCCCTGAGTAGTGCAAGGGGTCATTAACTCCTCTGTGGGGCATTTTGGCTTTATTGTTGAAGGGTACACTAGGGTTCACATTTTTTTATATACAGATTGCCGATGATCATCTTGGCAAATGTGTTTATGCTCGGGTTTGAGTTCGGTGTCGGTTCTTTTTGTGAGTATTCCTAGTGCCTGGGTGGCCTCTTGGTCCTTACCTCAAGTTCTGGCAAGTTCTGTGAGCTTTTGGCGTGACTCGTTATGATCAAGCCTGCAATTGTTACTTAGGAGCTTAAGGGATGTTCGTCAACTTTGCAACATGTCGATGATCATTCTTTTGTTGCTATGCTGCCTCAGGGCTCAGGACCTCGCTTCCTTGATGGACCTGGCTTCATCCCAGTTTTGTTTGATTTCGCCCTTTTGTTTGCAGTATGGGGTCCCTGACCATTCTTCATGGCATGATGATAACTGTTTATCTTTGAGGATTAACATGGCTTTTGCTATGCATGAACACTTATGTGATGGTAGGCAAGTTCTGTCTTTCACGTGTTGTTGGTTGCCCAAGGACATGGGCTTGTGGCAGCTGCCTATACTCGCTGGAACTCAGACTGCGGGGGACCACAGGCCCCATACTCACTTGGTGGCTGGTTTGCACATCTGGGCTGTGGTTGAGCTCATCTTTGACCAGCTCTGGGTCGGCCGGGATTTTTTTTTACTGCGCTGCCCGGTGTTGTTTCGTTATTTGTGGTTCTGACTTGGGCACTCTTGCTTGTAACTGATTGGGGTATGCCTCCGGACTGAGCCCGAGTTTATTTATTTATTTATATACAAGGTACATTGGGTTTGTGAGAATACATAGCATAGTACAGTAATTGCACTATTGTAAAGCCACTAGTACGCGCAGCATTTCGGGCAGAATGGCTGAGTTCGGGCAGAATGAATGAGTTGCTGGCTCATGATGCACACGTTGCAGTAGTAAGCTGGAACTAGGGATTTACACTGACTACTGAGTGGATCTTTTGTGGAGTCATTTGCTGCTTCACCACTTCTTGTTTTCCTGTGAACCATACAGTTGTCTGTTTTGCTTTGCTTATTTTCTGGATGTTCCCTTGACGAGGGTGATCGTATCGATCTCCTGCTCCCTGTACCTCTTTAAATGGATCCGGTTCTGGCTCTACTCTTGAGTAGGCTCTTGTAAGGACTCCTGGGACTGATGTGACTTGGGCGTGTAGAGCTCTCTCAGTGCTGGGCCTCGGGGTTCCACCGAGGCCCAACCAGAAAGCGAGGTTTCATCACATTCTATGTTTTATTTTTTTTATTTTTTAGGTACTATCTATCCAGGATTAATGGTGACATCAGCTGCCATCTATCATGTCTTGAATTGGCTCAACATAACCATAGATGTTCGCAATGTATGCGTATTTCTGGCGCCGCTCTTCTCCTCCCTTACAACTCTTGTCACGTATCATCTAGCCAAGGAATTGAAGGTAGGCTTTTAGCTGGTGTTTTTGTAAGCTTTTTTTGTTATTACAAGTAAAGTCATTTTCATTGAATATTTATATTTTTGTGCCTTTTATCTTCTGTCATGTTTGTTGTTCAATAAGGCTTAACAGATGTTTTTGTGCTATGTTTTAGATCAAATGTTTTTGTGCTGTAGTGTAGAGGCAATGGAAATGTGTGTGAAGAAGTGAATGTGTAATTATTTATGAGAAGTCAACAATGTATCACTGGACAAGGCATTACAAATGTGGTATATTTAAAAAGTTTAAATATATTATTGCTGAGATTGTATTATATATGTCCATAATGAAGGGATGGATTACCTTGAGATACCTTACTGGTGCTGAGATTGTATTATATATGTGAAGAATGAAGGGATGGATTACCTTGAGATACCTTACTGGTGCTGAGATTGTATTATATATGTCCATAATGAAGGGATGGATTACCTTGAGATACCTTACTGGTGCTGAGATTGTATTATATATGTCCATAATGAAGGGATGGATTACCTTCAGATACCTTACTGGTGCTGAGATTGTATTATATATGTCCATAATGAAGGGATGGATTACCTTCAGATACCTTACTGGTGCTGAGATTGTATTATATATGTCCATAATGAAGGGATGGATTACCTTCAGATACCTTACTGGTGCTGAGATTGTATTATATATGTCCATAATGAAGGGATGGATTACCTTCAGATACCTTACTGGTGCTGAGATTGTATTATATATGTCCATAATGAAGGGATGGATTACCTTCAGATACCTTACTGGTGCTGAGATTGTATTATATATGTCCATAATGAAGGGATGGATTACCTTCAGATACCTTACTGGTGCTGAGATTGTATTATATATGTGAAGAATGAAGGGATGGATTACCTTCAGGTACCTTACTGGTGCTCCAGGAAAGGTTGAAAGTCAGTTGGGCGTCAGTTAGGTAGTTTTCAGATCCTTCCATATTGTGAGCATCAATGGCCTCATGACCAAACCACACACCAGAAGATGGAGAAACGACGTCGTTTCGGACTATCCTGGACTCGCATATGACTTGATAATGGTCCAGGATGGACCGAAATGTCGTCGTTTCGAACTGTCCTGGACCCGCATATGACTTGATAATGGTCCAGGACGGTCCGAAATGTTGTCGTTTCTCCATCTTCTGATGTGTGATTTGGTCGTCATATTTTCAGCCACGTTATTATGACTCGTCTGCATCCACAGTCTGGTTGCTAGGACAACAGTCTCAGATTTTTCAGCCCCGAGCTCAAATGCCTGATTATCCAAGTCAGTGTAACATTATTGCTCATATTTAAGATAGAGTAGCTGAATGAGAAAAAATTTATATTTGAAATGTTAGTTCAGTGGAGTCTCTATTACCTGGATCCATATTTTAGGGATTCTTTGGTAATTGAACATGGACATTTTTGGTTCTTCACCCACATTAACCATAACATGTCTGATTAATGGGGGTTAAATACCCCATTATCTTCAAAGTTTTGGCACCATTTACCAGCAGGGAACACTTACTTATGCAAGCTAATAAAAACATTTCATTGGTGTATTAAATATTGGTGCATTACTTTTAAAATACCATTACAGATATTTTGTGCATGCTTGATTATGAAAATAAATACCATTATAACAAAAATTGACAAAATTGGCTTGTGATCTTTTATGTGAATATTCAGATTGAAATTGGCTCAGGCATCCAGAAATGCCAATTAGTCTGGGTAATTGAGGATGGAGTACAGAAACCTCTTTTTTTTTCCGACACATGGCTAGATCTATCATGAGGTTATCTTGAGATGATTTTGGGGCTTGGTGTCCCCGCAGCCCGGTCCTCGACCAGGCCTCCTGTTTGTTACTGGCCTGCTATACTATCTTAAATAACATGAAAAATGATAGAAATACTTATTAGTTAGAATCAAGCAAAACATTTAAGTGCGACACGTTTTGACCCAATGTCATCTTATAATTTCCGTTGTCGGGGATAGGAATTCTGTACTTTGGCTTAGCATGGTTTCTCTAGGGGAACCACTGACCTCCTTCAGGATCCAGCCCCCACAACAGTTGCCTAACTCCCAGGTACTTATTTACTGCTAGGTGAACAGTGGCACCAGGTGAATGGGCACATGCCCAAATGCTTTTGTTGTACTGTTTGAATTGAAGAGTTTTGGTTGTGACCTGATTGCACTTACCACTGTAAGGGCAGTCAGGTCATAGGTCACATTGCCTTTGCCTTCCTCTCTCCCATCACAATCGACTTGATGATGGGTCAGGATGGACCGAAACGTCATCGTCGTCTTCATCTTGCGGTGTGTGGTTTGGTCATCGCACCACTGTGTTATCTTTATGTAGGGCATATGTAAATCTGTGTATCTATGTATTTACTTATGTAGGTTAGCTTAGCATTTTAATAGCACCGAATTACCTTCTGTGGTTGAGTGTTCAATAAACCCTTGAACTATATGTTTAACACTTCTCTAACCCTGTCCATGGAGGACAGAAGAAAATGTACATATACTGGTTAGCATTGTAAATGTGTGGCCACGTCTGTGGTAGAAAATAATAAAAAACAAACAAAAAAAAACAGTTATCTGTCGGCCAGCTCCGCAAGTAGAGCTGCTGTTAACTAGGCTTCTCGGCCAGTTGTGCCTCTGTTTCATAGAGCCGTCCAAACTATCTTTGTGTAAAGAATGGGTTGTAATACCTACATGCTTCTTTTTATGCCTGGGGCAATAAATAGAAGCAAATTTGCATCTTAATAAACGAGACAATGTTTTCTTCATGCTGTACAGTTGATCACAGAATGTTGGCTAGGTAATGTTTTCAGAATTGTTTTGCCAAATAAATCTGTCCATTCCATTCACCTGGGCTGTATGGGTCTGAGACCGTGGACCCCACGTGTGAGAGGCTGACGCTCTATCAACTAGTCTGAGTTGATTCTCATAGACTAGTTGATAGTCTCTAGACTAGGAAAGTCTCCAGAAGCGATATCTTGTTGCCAAGCTGGAATTGTCGACTTTCCCCCCGACTACTACTGAAGCCCAGAGGAATTTCTGACCCCATGTACACGCCATATAATTTGTCATCCACACTTCCGTGGAATTAAACACCTGGAGAGAGCCAGTCGGCCGAGCGGACAGCACCCTGGACTTGTGATCCTGTGGTCCCGGGTTCGATCCTGGGTGCCGGCGAGAAACAATGGGCAAAGTTTCTTTCACCCTATGCCCCTGTTACCTAGCAGTAAAATAGGTACCTGGGTGTTAGTCAGCTGTCACGGGCTGCTTCCTGGGGGTGGAGGCCTGGTCGAGGACCAACCGCGGATGGACTAAAGCCCCGAAATCATCTCAAGAACACCTGGATGCCAATTTATATGACGTGGGTCAGTAACTCGTCTGGGCTTCAGTAGTGGTCAGGGAAAGTAGAAAATTTCAGTTTGGCAGCCCGATGCTGCTTCTGGAAACTTTCCTTATTAAGACAGCTCATAGCCCAGTCAATAGAGTGTCGGCGTCACGCATGTGGGGTCCACGGTTGAGACCTATACAGCCCCGGTGAATGGAATGTTTATTTTCAGGGAAGTGTAGGATGACAATTTAAATTTGTCCATGCTCTCTGGCCATAAATCAAGTTTAATTTATAAGAAATAGAATGTTTATTTTCAAGAATAAAAAATAACATGTAAATCTTGTGTATAATATATATGTGTGTGTGTTGGTGTGTATAAAAAAAAAATATATATATATATATATATATATATATATATATATATATATATATATATATAATTTATATACTTTATATGTATATATACAGTATATACATATATATACAGTATGTAGATATAGTTGGTGTGTTGTAGAAGCCAATAAGCCGTGGGAAGCTTGCATTATTGTGATGTATGATGTGTACAACTTTGCAGGGTCCCGGTGCAGGGCTGGTTGCTGCCGTCATGATAGCCATCGTGCCGGGCTATATATCCCGTTCCGTAGCCGGCTCCTACGATAATGAAGGTTGGCATGTGTGATGTTCCTCCTTCATTTATTTTCATTGGAAAAGTGAATGTTGTTGAAATATTTTATGTATTGTATATCTGAATGTTGTTTGGAGTATTTGCAAAATGAATTTAAGTGTTGCTGGTTGTTGATTCTTCCTGCCACTCTGACCTGTTTTTCATAATGGCTCATGAAAATAGGTCATAAATATTTTTTATGTTGATGCAGATTTCATGAATCTTTATCAACATGAATCTTGAATTTTTTTTCCTTTTTGGCATATCAATCATGGTGCATCAATTACTTTTTTTATTAAAAGTGAGTCGTTACAGGTATTGCAATTTTCTGCATGCTGTTGACGTACTACATGTGGATCAAGGCTGTGAAAACCGGCACACTCTTCTGGTCGACGATGGCGTCTCTCGCTTACTTCTACATGGTGAGTCACGGAAATGTCGTCCTCGTTGGCAAATAATTAATTTTGTAGTTGTATAGATGTGCTGTGTTGACGTAAGTGATTTAACCCCTGTACTGCGCACCTGTGTTTGGCAAAAACTTCATAGTACAATTGTTAAGGACATATTTTGATTGGTTTTTATAAATGTTCAGGTAAAGTTAATGTGAAAATGTTTCCAAACTAAACTGTTTTCATTTCAAAACACAAAGAGAGATGAGAACATTATAAACATTAAAAAATAGTCAATGACGTTTTTTGGCCCCTCAATAAGGAAATACTGTACAGTATCTTGAAGAGAAGCAGTTACCACTCAAGGCCTTGCTTGTGCTCGATAATGCTCCTGCACATCCTCCACAGATGCAAGATGATTTGTTTCCAGAAAATCAGTTCATCTCTAAGTTTCTTCCTCCCAACCCCACTCCATTCCTCCAACCTATGGACCAGAAAGTCATTGCCAACTTTAAGAAGCTCTACATGAAGGCCTTGTTGGAGAGGTGTGTTGATAGACAATACAGAGCTGACCCTCAAAAAATTCTGGAAGAACCACCTCAATATCCTGGGTGCCTTACGTTTGATCGATAAGGTCTGGGAAGGAGTGACACGGAGGACCCTAAACTCTGCATGGCCTAACTTGTGGCCTGCGGGGTGTCCCTCAGCGAGACTTCGAAGGTTTCGGTCCTGCATCTGCATCTGTGGATGACCCAGAAGTGCATCTAGTGGATGATATTGTTGCTCTGGGGCAACAATATCATCCACTAGATGATATTGTTGTTCGGTTGCAGGTATTCATCGCCTCTTGCACATACTCGGGCTGCTTCGAGAGGGAAATGTTTTGTTGATCTGGTCTCCTTGATCCTCCATTCCAGGCTTGTCTGTCTCAGGTCCTCAGCATTGTCTTTAAATGTAGCCAGCTTCCGGTCTACTCTTGGGCCCATGATGTTTGGAAGTGTGGGCCTTTGCTGTCATTTCTAGCATGTCTAGGGCTGGTTTCCAGGCTCGGGTTTATAAGGTGTTACTCCTGGTGACTCGTTGACTGGTCCCTGTCATGCTTGTGTTGTTCTGGGTAGGGCTTCCATCCTGGTCTGTCCCCTACAGGGTTTAATTCTTTGCACACCTTTCCTCTTCACCTGTTCAGTTCTGTTGTTCTTTTCTCTGTGGTTAGTTAGAGGGAGCCACAGTTTGGCCCCTCCAGAAAATCAGCATGGGATGTAATGAAACCTTTTCTAAGGAAACCTCGATGGCTGCCAGGACCCTCCCCTTCCTACCAGGAGGCTCGGTTGGGGACTGAGCCGCGGGAAGCTTTTTAAGGGTATCTATTATGTTTAGTATATCACCTATGCATGTAGTTAATAAGTCAATATTGACTTTACGTTGAGCCCTGATATCATCGCAAGGTAACCGCCAGGTAACCAGGTGGCCCAGTTAGTTTCTTGGGCTCCGAAATGATGGTTGTTGGCACGGTGAGCTGGCAACTCTTGTGATGCTGCCAACTGGATGCAGCCAGCTGGAACTCAGCAGTGATGGGGAAGTGTGGTGGGAGTTGTGGCACAAGTACTAGTTGGATTGTTTGCAAAAGTCATTTGCTGCATTGTTTGTTAACTGTATGAACCTTGAAGCTGTCCATTTTACTTCACCTTCTTTCTGGGGGATTTGTTTCGTCAGTGAGGGTGATCTAGAATTCATTGTTCTTTTCTTCTCTGTGAGAGAGCCGGGTTTCGGTCTGTGGCCTCTGGAACGTTTGACACTCTTACCTCGCAAGGGCTGATGTGAGTGACAGGCGTGGAGCTGTCTCAGTGTGGCTCGCTACAAGGAGCCACTGTGTTCCTCACCCTCATCCCCCAGGAAGATGTATTTAATTATATTCCCCTGGCTGCTTTATTTTTTTATTTCAGATTTGAATGACTTTACTTCCCTTTCTCTCTTTATTAACTAGTCTTTTTTTTTTTTTTTTTTTTTTTTAATTGCAGGTATCATCTTGGGGTGGGTACGTGTTCCTGATAAACATCATACCTCTGCATGTGCTGACCCTGATGATCACTGGCCGCTTCTCACACAGGGTGTACGTGGCATATTCCACCCTCTACGTCATTGGTACCATCCTCTCCATGCAGATATCATTTGTTGGGTTCCAGCCGGTCTCTACATCTGAGCACATGGGGGTAAGAATTTTGATGCACAGTAGTGTAGTCATTTGAAGATTAAACATTTTGAATATGTATTGAGGTTATTTTGAAGCTGCATCCCTGAGCCTCTTATGGAAGCAGGTTTGATATAACGCTTAGAAGTGGTAAATTGTGTTGGTGTAAACAAAGAGTAATTTACTGACAGATGGGCTGGATGGGGTCAGGTATACGTTAGTCCATCTGAGCTCGAGTGCAGTGTGTTTACCTACTATTTTTATAAATTGTATACAGTACTGTATTTATACTGTGATATATATCAAGTAGATTTTAAATTGAGAAATGATTCGTGTGTTTATTACTTTCAGGCATTTGGTGTGTTTGGACTATGCCAGATACATTCTTTTGTCGACTACGTGCGTTCCCGCTTGAATAAGGTGCAGTTTGAGGTACTGTTTCGTGCGGTTATCTCGACTGTTGCTGTGGCAGGTGTCTTGGTGTTGGTGGTGCTGACAGCTATGGGCAAGATTGCACCGTGGACGGGAAGATTTTACTCGCTGTTGGATCCATCGTACGCCAAGAACAATATTCCCATAATTGCGTCTGTGTCAGAACATCAGCCCACGGCCTGGTCTTCCTTCTACTTCGACTTGCAGATGTTAACATTCATGTTCCCTGTGGGTCTATATTTCTGCTTCTCCAAACTTACAGATGAGAACATCTTCATCATTCTTTATGGAGTTCTCAGCATTTATTTTGCAGTAAGTACAATATACAGGCTCTGACTTGTATACATATTATATAAGTAATAATATGTATATAATACTATACATATTATTACTTATATAATTATTATATAAGTATATAATATAATATACATATAATACAACTATTTTTACATAATATTGGCTAATGAGTCGGTCCCTGGATTGGCTAATGAGTCGGTCCCTGGATTGGCTAATGAGTCGGTCCCTGGATTGGCTAATGAGTCGGTCCCTGGATTGGCTAATGAGTCGGTCCCTGGATTGGCTAATGAGTCGGTCCCTGGATTGGCTAATGAGTCGGTCCCTGGATTGGCTAATGAGTCGGTCTCTGGATTGGCTAATGAGTCGGTATTGATATATGATAAAATAATAACAATTTGCACAACTTTACATTTTATCACAAATGGATTCAGTGAGCTCACCTGGAGCAAGCTCACTGGGACCACCACCTCACACAGCAGGGATCTAATATAAACACGCTTTAAATTGGTTGTAAGGGATGACTAGAAGTGCTGTGGTAATTGGCAGCTGGTTCACCTGGCTGTTACACCCAGTTGCCACCAGGTGACCCCAGTGTTCATCTTGCACTTTGTCTAACTAGATTCCTTGTAAACCATAGGGACAAAAGAAAGGCAGCCAGCAACTACAGTATGTTCAGGAAAGGGCTTGTTCATTTTTTCTCAAAGCAAGAATGGTTTAAATTAAATATGAGAAGGATAAATAAATTACAATGTATGCATGGCAGAGCAGGCAAATGCAAATCCTGAAGGGTTCTTTCGGATACAGTGGGACTTAAATCAGCAAATCTCGATTCAACAAATCTCCAGTTGGAATGCACACTTCCAGGCTGGATTTCCTCGCCTGTTTCCACAAACAAGAGTTTGCTGAAGCGAGGGATGGGCGCATTTGCTCAGGATACCTTGTGACCTTGCGATAATTTTAGGGTTCAATGTCCTGCTGCCTAGTCCCCGACCAGCCCTCCTAGTCAACCAGGACTGTTGGGACAGTCCACACAGACTGGTGGATACGTTGCCAATCATATCATGGGTTAAAATTTAAGATTCCCTTTGTGTAATCAGCCCATAGAGCATGGGAAATCTAAGGATATGAATGGTAACACTAAGGAACACTCCCTAATTTGTAACACACTTACAAATTACATAACCTCTTAATTTGGCTCCATTTGTGGGGGAAATCTAGCGGTGATTGATTTGATTATTAATTCAAGAGATTGTATTTAATTGTACTGTAGTTATTATTTATTATTTGCGAGAGGACTGTATTTTTATAATTTATCACCAGTAAACTTCATTTCACACATTTTAGGGGGTTCATAATTCAGTTTTATCACACCATAATGAAACGGTTGATATAAATTTCTGTACTAAACTGTAATTAAATACTGTCTCCACTCGATCATCCGGACTATATGGGAAGGAACCCCAGCCGGATTATCACATTTTTTGGATAATGGTACTTTTTGACCTACGAGTCCAAAAGTGACAATTTCCAACTATTTTTATACTACAAACAACATAATTTGAATTGCTTTGCCACATATAATTATTAAATATTCAACAAGAAACCTCAACTTACCTTGTTGGTGTTCGTCTTCTTGATTGATGCCACACATCTTGAAGTTAAGAATTCTTAACAATTTATGTAACTTATACTAACACAACACTAAAATTAGCACTTAAAATTACTGTACAGTTCATTAAGGAAAGTTAGTTTTGACTGCCAGCTGCTGAAGCCTCACTGGTTGAAGGCACTTGGCTTGCCTGTGAGGCCTCACTTGTTAAAGGCGCTTGCTTGCGCCTCACTTGTTGAAGGTGCTTGGCTTGCCTGTGAAGCCTCACTTGTTGAAGGCATTTGGCTTGCCTGTGAGGCCTCACTTGTTGAAGGCGCTTGCATGTGCCTCACTTGTTGAAGGCGCTTGGCTTGCTTGTGGCGCCTCGCTTGTTGAAGGCGCTTGCTTGCTTTGCGCCTCACTTGTTGAAGGCGCTTGCTTGCTTGCGCCTCACTTGTTGAAGGCGCTTGGCTTGCCTGTGGTGCCTCACTTGTTGAAGGCATTTGGCTTGCCTGTGACGCCTCACTTGTTGAAGGCGCTTGGCTTGCCTGTGACGCCTCACTTGTTGAAGGCATTTGGCTGCCTGTGACGCCTCACTTGTTGAGCAACACGTAACTTGTCTTTAATTGTTAACCTTCCTCCTCTTAACACCTCCAGAACGGGATTGATGCTGCTACCAGACATAGTCTTGGCCAAAAATGTTCAAAGTTACTATGAAAATAAAAAAGTTATTTAAAAAAATATTTCGCTAATGGCGCAGCACTGTGTATAACAGGAGGGACGGGAGCACATGGGTTGACCAGTGTTGGACGGGTTCACTTGGGGTGGGGCAGCTATAGCACGTTACGTAGGCCGCCAGGAGGAAACACTCACAATATTTTTGAAGGAAACTTCAGCCTGTGCACATTGTTTTTTGTAAACTTATACTGTATATTTGTTATTACATAATTACTAGTACTTATTTCATTTGGTTTTGGCTATGATGAATTGTTCTAAAATTAATGGTAATTCCTGTACCCAGGTGGTCCCTCCCGACGCTTCCCTCCCACCCTCCCAACACCACCCACCCACCCCACCCCCTCCTCCACCATGCGTCTAGAGCTACAGGCAGACGGGATTAATACGGTACGACCCGCCCCATGGCTTTCATATCCAGACAATTTAATAAATATCCGGCTAAACCAGCCTTTATCCGGCTCCCATGGCTATTTTGGCCAGATATTGATAACTTTATCCAGTCACGATTTTGGCCGTATAAGGGCGTTTTCCGGATGTTCGAATCCCGGATAATCGCGTGGTTACAGTAATTGTTAGTGTGTTAGACTACAGTGGTTAGTATTAACTCTTTCGCTCGGCGACGACTCAATGCTTCATTTATACAAATACAGCTTACGACTCAATGCTTCATTTAAACAAATACAGCTTACTTGTATTGTAGAATGTGGCCTGGTCAAGCAGATATGAACACGAAAGATCACGCGAACTGATACTCTAATAAGAACTGATACTCTGATAAGAACTGATACTCTGATAAGAACTGATACTCTGATAAGAACTGATGGTGGGTTAGGCTAGCGTCGTCACACGTCATGTGTTGTACCAGGTAGCTGCTGCTAATGTCTTCTTCCCCTTCAATTTTACCCTTCAGAAAGGCACACGGTAATAATGGTAACCAATATATAACGGCTATATCAAGGAAAATGATTAGTCTATTTACTTAGTGATTTTACCCTTTTGGTTGCTGACTTCGTGTCCTCGCCGGTCTTCCCTAATCTATATTACTGGCCAGAAATAACAGATTAAACGGGTTATCGGGTACAGAACACTTCCCTTATTGGCTAGCAAAAATGTGCTGATGATGGGAGATTTGGACGTCCCACAACACTGCATCTAGCAGGTAACATTTGCGGAGGTTTCCGATGTGCTCCTAGACGAGACTTTTGTTAATGGTATAATTATGGCGTCTTCTCTCTCCCTCCAGCAGTGGAAAGTGGAAAGAGGATTTATATATTTAATTTGTTTTAGTACTGATAACAGTTTCCTGGAACAAAATTAATTGTGATGTTTGCAGTCCAGAGACTGAATGTTTTATGAAGACTTCTCAATAATATTAACTAGTGAATTTAATTTGGTGACGTGGCAATTATATCCTCGTTTTCTTCAGGGGAAAACTCCACACTTCTAATTTTCTTTGAATACTTAAATAAAATACTTTTGGTTAATTTGTTAGTACAAAAGATTTGGAAACAGACATTCGAAAACCAAGATTCCACTGTTCAGTACTTTAACCCTTAAGTTGCGCAACACATCATATGATGGGTTGAGTGACTTGCTATAAAATGCGCATCCCATCATATGATGTATTGGAGTACTACGCAAGATTTAAACGGTCCGCGGATACACGGGGTTCATCTCACCTTCATCAGGGCTCTTGTAAACAGACGCCATTTTAAAAAAAAATCGTGGACCAAATTCTCGGGTGTGAGGGCTTCAGTATTGAGTGAGCCACCAAGCCTGATGCACGCAGCATGAGCTCACAGCACTGCTGTTCAGCTTGTGACCACAGCATCACCTAAAAATGCCATAATATACATGTTCATGTTATTATTTAGCGATGATAGTATTACAGAAGACCCCTGACTGGGATAAATATGACCAGGATTCTGATAATAGCAGGATTGTTGTGATAATTAGTGCTGTAGTGGGAGGAGTAATCTTGGTGGGGAGGGAGGTAGCGTTGTCTGCTGACTCTGTGACAACCTTTTACTGTCTGGAATCACTATACCAGCTTAGTGGTTTGCTATGGTGAACAAAACATGCAGATACTTGTATATAACGTCTGTATATAAAAGCAAAAACAATATGGTGGGAGGAGAATGGTGGCAAGTCAAGTAAGGTGAGGGAGGGAGGGAGTGGCAGCCAGTGGTGGGCTGTCACTGCCACTCAGCATACCAACTTAGTGGTTCGTTATGGTGAACACAAATATAGATACTTAGATATAACGTGTATATACAGTGTAATAACAGCAAAAGGAGTGTGTGGGGGAGAAGCCATTTTGGTGATGGGTGTGGCAACATCTGCATGATTTGTCATGTTGGTAGGGGTGGCCACTATGCTCTTTGGGCATTATACCGGCTTAGTTGAACAGTTATGGTGAACAAAACATGTACATACTTATATATAACGTCTGTATATAGGGCAATAACACCACAAACGGGTGAAATTTTAGTGCGTCTGACCTTGAATGTGTGAGGGAAGCAGCCGCCAGCTGACTGTGTGTAGCGACGTCTCTTAGTGCCTGAGCTAACTATATCAACTTAGTTGTACAGTTGTGTTGAACAAAACATGTAGATACTTATATATAACATCTGTATATAGTGAATAAAAGCAAAAACAGTATTGTGGGAGGAGAATGTGGGAGAGTGAGGTGTTGAGGGAGTGAGTGGCAGCGAGTGGCTGGCTGGTGTGTGGCGGTCACTCCTCGTTGTTTTTTGACTCATAATACGAACTTAGTGGTTCGTTATGGTGAACAAAACATGCAGATACTTATATATAACCTGTGTATATAGTGTAATAACCGACAAAGTATTTGTTCACTGTTTGATGAACATAATAATTGAATCAACAATATGCTCACCATATTTTTGAGTACAGCGATGATTCACTCATTTTATTATATAAATATATCACACTACACACTATTGAATAATATTACAGCAAAAAACTACAAAAACTCAATCAGACATTGAAATAATTAGGTAATTATTTCTTTGTGGCCACTCCTGCCTGACAGCTGGGGAGCAACAGGCCATCTGGGACGCACGCTGAGTCAGTGCCTGTTTTTTGTCAGACTTCACCGCCCTATAGCGGGCAATATATGCCACTTATGATTTTATTTTTCCCATGATCAGAGAACACACATTAACATGTTTAGAAGATTTTTTTTTTTTATGCGCTTGTGGGTGACATGCTAATTAGCCCTGAGCAGCACAAGGGTTAAAAGCCTAATTCAGTAAAATAACACATCTATTCTGGTCACAAAATGTAGTTTGTCTTTATTTTATTAGTACAGCTAAAGTTAGTGTAAAATTGCAGGGCGTGATGGTGCGTCTGATGCTGGTGTTGGCTCCAGTGATGTGTATCTTGTCGGGTATTGCCGTGTCTTCGATGCTCTCCACATACATGAAGCAAATTGATGAGGTCAAGACGGAGAAAAAGAAAGCCAAGTTTGAAGGCAATTATTTTATGAGAAGCGAGGTGAGTTTGATTGTTAAAATACAATTTATATGGAGAGCCCCGTCGGCTCCCTGAAGTCGGGGAGCCTCCGGGGCTCACCCAGAAACTGGCGTTTCATTACATTCAATACTGGTTTTTTGTTCAACAAATAAATAATTTAAATTAGAAGTTTTGTATTTGCATTATTGATGTATTGTTATTGTATATTATACAGTATATGAAATTATGCATTAATATTGATTTTAATAAACAGTTTGAAATACGTTTTACATATTACATTTACATATTATGTCTCAAGCATATTACATGTGGCATATTGCATCTAAACATTGCACGACAACTACATGGAAATTTATGTCTTTCTTGTTTTTTCCTTACAGATCGCCACATTTTTTGTGTGTGTAATGTCGGTATTTTTGGTGATGTACACACTGCATTGCACCTGGGTAACTTCAGAAGCGTACAGCTCCCCATCAATTGTTCTTTCTGCACGTGGTCATGATGGCTCCAGAATCATATTTGACGACTTCAGGGAGGCCTATTACTGGCTGCGTCACAATACCCCCGAAGTTTGTAGCCGTTGGAGTTGTGTTGCCTCGTCTACGTCTAGTTGAAAATTTCTCGGATATTGACACCCTTGAATTTCTTTGCTATACAGTTGCATTAAGTAATTATGCTAAGCTCTTGTCATTTTTTTCTTGTTTTGCAGGATGCTAAAGTGATGTCTTGGTGGGATTATGGATATCAGATAACAGCCATGGCCAACCGAACTATCCTTGTGGACAATAATACTTGGAACAATACACACATATCCCGTGTTGGTCAAGCCATGGCCAGCACGGAAGACAAAGCTTACGAGATAATGAGAGAACTTGATGTAGATTACGTCTTGGTCATCTTCGGAGGACTGACGGGCTATTCTTCCGATGGTAAATATATATATAATAGCGGTTCTTGAGTATTTTTTTTTAATTCAATACTGTATAGTATTTAAGCTTCAGCTTAAAAAAAGCAAAAAGCAAAAATCTTACCTACTAATCAAAAGCTTTTTGAGCCTTTGTGTAATAAACTCCTACTACCCGCCATCATGCTGTTTGACCTCCGTATTTATGATAAGTCCAACTGTATGATCTCGGTTCCGGCTGCAGAGCATATTATAGCGTTACCTACATGCTTCCCTCTGACTCGGCCTGTTATTTTTTAAGCATTCCTAGCCATACAAATGAATTCTCTCCCATAATGTTTTATCGCACTTAAAATATTATACATCTTGCCATCTTGGCTTAAAAAATGCAGGGAACGTGTTGACATTGGCTTCCACTTGCAGCAAAGCCAAGAGAAAAAATACGATATACAGTATTAGTTGATACAATGGGTTATGTTAGTGAGCTAATAAGAAGTTTCTGTGGGGAGTCCCTATGGCTCCCTGGAGCTTACCGGGCTCATATAAATGTATTAGACCGTGGCATCAGTCAATGGAGTTCTTGCCTACCGGGGACCACAAGCCAGAACCTGGCCCCTCAGAGGCATGAGGAGCAATGGCCTATGGAAACCCCTATGTGTTTGGAAGCATTCTATGTCTGTCATCGACTGGGGGTTTGGCACCCAGAAAGATAGGCATAACAAAACAAACCCCACATGGTAAAAATTACTACCTAAAACCGAACAGGGAGGCAGAACTGTCAAACTAAAACAAGCAAATGTCACTAACCCCGTTGCCCTGATTGTCTGTGCAGCCTCGGACCCCCCGCACCGGCCGCTCCAGCGCCTGATGTGGACTGTGGTGGTCATCAACTCTGGCCTCTTGACTCCTTGCAGTTTTGTGCCTTTTGGTGTATTTCTGCAGTGTGTGGTGCACAGGCCATGAGTAACTGATCAGTAATGGGGCTACATGCACTTAAGGCCATCTTCCCTAGGTGCCCCTGTAAGTACTGCCCTTGCGCCTTGGGGCAAGGCGTAAGGGCAGTATTTTCGTAGGGGTGTTTTGCTGCTCAACAATTGCCCGCCCTTGGGGCCAGCTGGGGTGTTTTGTAGCCGCTGTTTGGCCTTGGATGGGGAATGGTATCATTGCTGGTAGGGGCACAAGGTATTGTCCAGCTTGTCTCCCATTGTACACAGGGCCAGTTCTGTTCTTCCTGGGGATGTTGTGCTTTTGCGGGATATTATTTGTCTTTATTTTGCTTGGTGGTGGCCTGCCCCTTGGTTTATCCACCTTCTGTTATATTGGTGGTCCTCTGCTAGGCCCCCGTGCTTGTACACATCACAGGGATTCAGGTTTTTAGAAGTTTTCTTGGTAGTGTGGGCCCAACCGGTTAGTAATACCTTGCCTGGGCTTCCCCCTTAGCAGTCAGTCTAAGGGCCCTGGAAAACCCCATTGGGGCTCTTTGGATCTATGGATGCATCCTCTGTGTTTCAATTCGCTGGGTGTGAGTTTGACGGTTGCTCTGTCTCCTTATCTCAGGGTGACACCAGTTTTGTCTACCATGCAGCCAGCTGGATCAATAACACCTTTGACCCGGAGTCTTGCGAGTCCTGTTCCTTGCTTGTACTCCAGTTTACCCATTCTAGTGATATTGATGTTTGGGTATAGGTGACTTCGGTGTTGCATGTTAGATATCCGTTGCTGCAGCACGCTAAGTTGGTTACTTGTCTGGATGCCCCGAGGCTGCCTTGCTTGGGTTATAGGGACCCAGACTTGGGGGCATTTGTCGCTTCAACTTTGGTTTCGTCTGCGCTTCCTAATCTTCCCTGTTTGGTGGTGTTTGTTCAGTGTGACCCCTTCCCCTTGCTCACATCTTCCAAACGTCTGAGAGTTTCAGAATCGGGGCAGGGTTTAAATGGTAGTGAGACTCGGGCGGCTTCGGGGACTGATCCACCCGGGTTGGTGATCGAGGCATTCGAGCCTACTCTTCCCACCGAGGCGTCTGGGTCTTATCAGCGAACCTCATTTTTCTCAGCGTTTTTCCAGGACTCTGCGTTTTCTTTAGGGGCAGAGTGTGTGGAGGATGACTCTGCCCCTGGTCCTGGCATGGAGGATCTCAGGGCTGGGAAGGAGTCGACTTGGCAGGGCCTGGGCCCTGTTTGAACCCGCTTGGGTGTTGGTGCCCTCGTAGTGGGTTATGCCCCCTTCCCGGGGTGGCTGCATGGTCGATCTGCGCTAAAATGTTAGTAACGTTTGCTTGTTTTAGTTTGGGAGTTCTGCCTCCCTGTTCGGTTTTTAGGTTACAATTTCTACCATGTGGGGTTTGTTTTGTTGCGCCTACCTTTCTGGGTACCAAACTCTGGTCGATGGTAGACATGGAATGCTTCCAAATACATGGAGGTTTCCATAGGCCATTGCTCCTCGTGCCTCTCTGAGGGTGACCAGATTCTGGCTCATGGTTCCCGGTAGGCAAGAACTCCATTGACTGATGCCACGGTTTAATACATACATATCAGCCCGGTAAGCTCAGGGAAGCCTCTGGGGTTCACCCAGAAAATGACATTTTATTACATTCAATGTTAGTTTTTTAAAGGTAGATGACTTGAGTGATGGCCATCTGTGTCACTCAAGGTTGTTCTCTCAATTTCTCCTCATTAACAAAAATTCAGTGGTTTAGCCTTACCAAATGTGACAATGTATGCTGCCCACGTGACCTTCTGCAGCAGATGCTCATTATTCCCATGAATTGTCAATATTTCAGCTGTTTGTTATTTCTCTAAACCACTGCAATTTTTCCGTTGGGGTCGGTCAATTGCGTAAAATATGTTGTGCGTTCAGCAAGGGGGACAGGTTACTCTCCGAGAATGACCCTTCCATCCCCCCTCTTATTTATTTATCATCATCAACCCATCCACACTATTATCTTTTGATTAATCAAGTATGATAAATATAAAAGTATTCAAGTGTGTTGTGCAGTAAATAGCAGCAAACTTGAATCATACTTAAAAGTGGTCATACGTTGGTCAGTGATTGCAAAATGTTTTCTGCCGTCACAACGGTCTGTATCATCAGGCTCACAACCGGGTGACCCAAGTTTAATCCCAGGCAGAACAGAAACATTTGAGCATGTTGCTGTTCACCTGATGCTTCTGTTTAACTAGTAGTAAAGTAGGTTATCTTGAAGATTTTTCGGGGTTTAAGTGTCCCCGCGGCCCGGTCCTCGACCAGGCCTCCACCCCCAGGAAGCAGCCCGTGACAGCTGACTAACACCCAGGTACCTATTTTACTGCTAGGTAACAGGGGCATAGGGTGAAAGAAACTCTGCCCATTGTTTCTCGCCGGCGCCCGGGACCACAGGATCACAAGTCCAGTGTGCTGTCCGCTCGACCGACCGGCTCCCTGACAGGTGCCCAGGGGTTTGGCACGCTTTAGGCTGTGTCCTGAGGAAGGTCGGTAGTTGGCCTTGGGTGGGACCTTACACTTAGTGGTTCTGTTTACTTAGCAGTAAATAGGTACACAGGAGCTAGTCTAAACTGTTGTGGGTTCCATCTTGGAGAAGGTCAGTAGGTCACTGGGGGATATACTTGCACCGTGTACATATCCATGACATAGCACCTTAAATAAAGTGTAAGATTTAAGAAATGAAACTCTTATTAGTGCAAGAATTGATTAAGAAAACCTGGACAAATTCACAAGTTAAAAAGTGTTGAGGTCAAGAGATATCCAACTTTGCCCTAATGACGTGCTCTTTTCTTTAGTAACCCAGATTTTGTTATCCAGATACAGTACTGTATTTTATCCAGATTTTTGGTTATATAGATTTTCAGTTGTCCAGATTTTTTTATGAGGTGTATAAGGAAGCTAGGTGGCTGAGTCACTGTGTCTGTCGGCGCCAGATGCCTGTGTGCCGAGACGGTTGTGCGGGAGCGAAGACTCAAATGTTCAACTTGGAGGATTATTATGTTCATTGCTGAACTTAACAATTATTTGCAGAGTGTTGAATAATGCAATTTATGTACACTTTATTGACCAACAGTAATGACTAGTGTAAGGAGACCTACAGTACACTGTATAGGTACACCTAGATATTGCATTCTCAACACAGCTCAGTGTTACAAGCCACGCCTCTGCTGCGCTTGTCTGGGAATGTCATCCTGTCATCAACCCGTTCTCGCAAATTTAATAAGTCAATATTGACTTATTAAATATGTGCATAGGGGACATACTTAACATAATAGTTTCCCTTGAAAAGCTTCATAGAAAACACCGACCTTACCTAACCTACTTAGTATGTTAAAATAAGCATCTTATAGCTTCGTAATTACAATTGTTACTTAACCTATTATAGGTATAAGTTAGGTAATAATTGTAATTACGAAGCAATAAGATGCTTATCTTAACATACTAAGTAGGTTAGGTAAGGTCGGTGTTTTCTATGAAGCTTTTCAAGGGAAACTATTATGTTAAGTATGTCCCCTATGCACATATTTAATAAGTCAATATTGACTTATTAAATTTGCGAGAACGGGTTGCCTGTCATAGCTTCAAACACTGATGGTAAAGTGCAAGTCACTATTTGATGATGACTGCACGTCACTACAATAAACCCCATCACATGGTAACCAATTATTGCACGTCACTACAATAAACCCCATCACATGGTAACCAATTATTGCACGTCACTACAATAAACCCCATCACATGGTAACCAATTATTGCACGTCACTACAATAAACCCCATCACATGGTAACCAATTATTGCACGTCACTACAATAAACCCCATCACATGGTAACCAATTATTGCACGTCACTACAATAAACCCCATCACATGGTAACCAATTATTGCACGTCACTACAATAAACCCCATCACATGGTAACCAATTATTGCACGTCACTACAATAAACCCCATCACATGGTAACCAATTATTAAATGATACCCGTAGTGTCATTTTTGGGCTGATCTTTTTTAACTCCGTTACTTCCACGTTGATGTATTATAACCTTGTTTACGTCATTGTTAAAAAAACGACAATAATGATGAAAATTGGCAAATGACAATGGCAGCGTGTTGAGGCTAATGTGCAATGTTTAGTATAAAATTACTGGCCTACCTGCAGCTTAATGCATATAACGGTGCATCTTGTCATTTGTCATTGTATAAGATATCCTTACAAGCAATAATGTATCGGAAGTTCTTATATTTTGTGAACAGTAATCAATTGATAGACTAGAAAAGTACCTTCATATTTGCTCAAAGGTACAATAATGTATACAGTATTACATATTTACATGTCATTTTCAATCGTCAGATATCAACAAATTCTTGTGGATGGTACGTATTGGAGGAAGCACCGAGAAGGGCGGTCACATAAAGGAACACGACTATTACACTCCTGCTGGGGAGTTCCGTGTGGATAAAGAGGGCTCGCCCACACTGTTGAACTGCCTCATGTACAAGATGTGCTACTATAGGTTTGGCCAAGTCTACACCGAAGGAGGTAAGGATTGCTTTTGTATTCGTAGCTTGAGAATAAGTTGCAGTAATGGAAGTGAAATATATAACCCAGCCCTCTCAAACGAAACGAAAGTGACCGTTTCGGGTCGTCTTCGCCCCGTAACAAGTCGTCGCTGTCATTTCCTGAATGAGCGTTGGGTTATTTGTATCTATGTTATTGCATTTTAAACTTAGTATGCTTATGATGCTTTTTATTGTATTTATTTATTTACATACTGTATATACAGTATACAAAATTACAATAGGATATGTTGTGTAGATTTTAGCGTTTTGTTGATAAATTCTCATAAAACCATTAACACACTATTTTGGGCATGTTTCATAGCTAATTAGTAACCAATTAGTAAAGTAACATAGCATAATTAATAACTCAAAGCTAATAACTTTCATACTACCTCTTCAATGCTTGCACCTGCTTCTGATCCCTTCACTATTTAGTATGTCTTTAAACTGACCTTTCACATTTCATGCACCTGGGCTCTAGGAGACTCGAACTGTGAACCCCACTCGTGAGAGGCCGGAGCTCTATTATTTACTTTACCTTTCACATTTCTATTCTGGGGAAGCCCCAATGGCTCCCTGAAGCTCTCTCGAGATTTGTCCGTGCAGGTGGGTCACATGAGGTGCAGGAGTTGTGCTTGGCCTACTGGCCACCAGAGCCAAGACCTGGCCACCCCTAGCACAGGTGCAGAGCGAGTGACAATTTGCCACCACACCAGAAAGCATCGGGAAAGCACCCGGAAAGTCATTGAAGCTTTATAGCCTGGTTGATACCCGTTTGATGGGGTTTTGGGAGTTGTTCTACTGCCCAAGCCCGGCCCGAGGCCAGGCTTGACTTGTGAGAGTTTGGTCCACCACGCTGTTGCTTGGAGCGGCCCACAGGCCCACATACCCACCACAGCCCGGTTAGTCCGGCACTCCTTGGAGGAAACAATCTAGTTTCCTCTTGAAGATGTCCACGGTTGTTCCGGCAATATTTCTTATGCTCGCTGGGAGGACGTTGAACAACCGCGGACCTCTGATGTTTATACAGTGTTCTCTGATTGTGCCTATGGCACCTCTGCTCTTCACTGGACCTCTGATGTTTATACAGTGTTCTCTGATTGTGCCTATGGCACCTCTGCTCTTCACTGGACCTCTGATGTTTATACAGTGTTCTCTGATTGTGCCTATGGCACCTCTGCTCTTCACTGCTTCTATTCTTCATTTTCTTCCATGTCATTCGCTCCAGTACGTTGTTATTTTACTGTTATTTTGACATAACTGGAGACAACTGGAGGGATGACAAAGACAACAGCCTCAAAACAAAGACAACAGCCTCAAAACAAAGACAACAGCCTCAAAACAAAGACAACAGCCTCAAAACAAAGACATTAGCCTCAAAATAACTCTACAAATGATTGGCACGAAACAAGAGAAACATTCAAAATCGGTGTCAAACCTCGTAGTAACGAATGCCACCACCAGGTGGGCCAGCATCCACATGCAGCCATGATCCCTGTTCAGTTCACTTGCTGATGTCCAGCTGGACAACAGTGTTCTGGGTCTTTCAGACATGGCCTGCCATTCTGCTTCAAGGTAAGTGCTGGCCATCCTTGGGCGTTTCCTTGCAGGGGACAGTTTCTTTCACACCGATGCCCCTGTTACCTAGCAGAAAATAGGTACCTGGGAGTTAGACAGCTGTTACGGGTTACTTCCCGGGGGGGTGTAACAAAAAGGAGGCCGACCGGGCCGTGGGGATGCTAAGTCCCGAAATCATCTCAAGATAACCTACTAGAGCTTTGTTGGAACAGTAGTGGATTTTATGGATACGAACTGCATCTTGTCACGATGCAGCCAAGTTTAAGTGCCACACTGCTATCCAAGAGGAGCAAAAATGAAAATTTAATTACAAAAAATTGATTAACTGTAAAGACAGGATTGTAGCAACATTTGGCTCCATCTTGGACCGTTATCAAATAGTGACAGCAAGAGTGGGATTGATGATGATTGATGAAGATTAAGCCACCCCAGAGGTGGCACGGGCAATCCTGTTACCGAACCCGTAAAGCAAGAATGGGAGTGTGTGTCAATATAAGGTCCATTTACCCCTCAATAACAAAACCGTCAGAGATCACACTTTACCTTAACCTGTGTCTCCCTCCGGTGGATTCACTCTGTCTCTCCCTGGCTGTGCGATGTTCTCAACAGCCCTAATACCTTTCACCTCATACCCCCTCTTGCCTTATATTGACTCCATCTCCCAGTCTTGCGATGTCACGACATAAGGGTGCAGGTCAAACTGAAATGTTGTCATATTCCTTTCTTTTCGAGTGTGGGGGTTAGGTTATTTGTTTCAGCCACGTTGTGAATTATTATTCTCACATTATGTATACGTTTCCTGCAAACCAAAATTTAGGTGGACCTTTCACTAGTCTCATAGAGTACTCTATACTGTGCTTACTGTCTCTTGATTTCTTTTCTATTTGCTAAATGTATTAATTAATTTTTGTGAAGGTTAATATATTCATTTTTCTTTACAGGTAAACCACCTGGATATGATAGGGTGCGCAATGTAGAAATAGGAAACAAAGATTTTGAATTGGATGTTTTGGAAGAAGCGTACACGACAGAACATTGGATTGTTCGTATTTACAAAGTGAAGGATTTGCCAAACAGAGGAGCCTAGAGCTAAACTTTGAATTAGTCAATTAACCAATAGTAAACATTAAGTAGTGTAATTTTGATACAGGTTCCCGTGCAGTATTTGGATTGACCTTCGATCCCTATTTTTGTGATCCAATAGGTCTTTGTTGATGGTGCTTGCTGATGACACAAGTTGTGGAATATTTTCCCAGTCTGGTTATGTAAATATACTCAGAATAATTATGGAGTTGTGAATTATTCTATGAGAAAACATTGACTAGTATGATTGGGATTCCACCTGCCTTCCCGAGCTCCTCGGGCACGTGCACTACCAACTGGACCACGATGGGCTTGTCATTAGTGGTGTGAGAGTGGCTGAGGGGTTCAAGGGTGTGTGTGTGTTCAGTCCCACTCAACGACTTCAGTGTTTTCACGTAGATATATCGTGTAATTGTGATTGCATCATGTATGGTGTAATGACATTCATACGTTCTTGAAATATGGAAATATTTCCGCTGTGAATATTCTCATAAAGAAGAAATTATTAATTCATAATAAATTTTTTTTGTTTTTGCTCTCTGTTAAAGGGTGTTATGATGGCCTTGAAATGCTTAATTGGGCTTGTATATAAACTTTATTGCACAATTTTTTCTTCAAAATTGCCATACTAAAAATTAATGCATTTTTTTCACCATGAAAAAATTAAACTAAAAATGCTTGTTAAACTCTTGTTCTAAGGTATGTGATGTTGAGGACATTAGCTATAATGTTCAGAAGCACAAGATAACTATGTTTAAAAGATAAGATTTGTTGTATTTGGAGGCACATGGCTTACGACGAGGCTGTGTGATGGGATCGTACCCACGTCCCTGGACTCCTCGGGCACACGCACTGCCCACTTGACTCTGAGGAACTGGACCCCATCGTACGGCTCTAATATTTCCTTATGGGTATAACACGTACTAGTGATTCCAGTGTGCATATGGTTTTAAAATGGTTTAATTTTGTTTACTTAATGTATCTCCTCCTCTATGCATACAGTCAAGCACTATATGACTGTGGTGGTTTTAACCTGTCCTCCAAAATTGATGGTTATTATAGCAACTATTGGTCAAGTGTACACAATTGGACTGTTGCACCCAAAAAGAGGCAACTTTTGTATTATCGATTTTGTGGAAGATACAAGTAAGAAGCGAACCTAAACATGTGTAGGCTGGAGATGGTATATATTTGAGGTAAGATTGCATATTTCGGACGTTGATGACCAAACTACCCGTCGGAAGATGAGGGGGAAACAACGTTTCAGTCCATCCTGGACCATTATCAAGAGGATTGTGACGGGTGCGAGGGAGGTGCGGGAATTTAGTAAGGCAAGAAAGAGAAAGGCGAGGAGCGGGTAAGGGGAGGAAATTCCCAGAAGACTATCTTGAGCCACGTTATTGTGACTCGTTGCCCAACAGGTTAGGTTGTATAGCTACAGTTACACTACTTGGCCATGCCATTTACAGTATTTAAAAAATAAAAAACTTAAATTTTTTTGTACTACAAAACGAAAGTTATTATTTTGTGTACAATAGTCGATTTTTGTATGTTCGAGGAATGGTTACTAAAAGTACCATAATTTTTGGAAGATGGTTTTTTTTTTTTTTGACAGCAGGATATTGCTGTTTGTTAAGTTCAAAGTCGGGCACAAAATATTTAGGTTGCTTTTCCATGATTGAAATGTCCTCAGTCCTGGTGTAATAGGGGAAGACAGTTTTTGTAAGGTGTGTGTGAGAGCATTCCAGAAGTGCACTAATTGGTGCATTTAATAAAAGAGTTTTACATATGTTGCATGTTATTTATATTCTCTGATGTAATGCTGGAGAGAGAAGTGTTCTAGTTTGCCTTTCTGTGTTGCTAACATTAAGTTTTGAGAGTGGAACCCTGCCAGGAGAGGTTTTCCTGCAGGAAATGTATAATTATCAAAAGAAGGCACCAAGCCAGGGAGACTTATGTAGCATCATCAGTGTCGCAGGAGTATCAGAAGGTGCTAAATATCCTTAAGGATGCCAATACGAAAACAAAAGCGCACAAGGGAAGCAATATCGAAGGTATCTGATTCACCAAGGATTCTATCCAGGGACAAATGATCGTCAGGGACAGTCGGGAAGCAAGACTCCCAGGGATGCTACACCTGCAGTCCCCTAGGGTCTCACCACCAGCAGTCCCTCTACCCCTGGGGTCTCACCACCAGCAGTCCCTCTACCCCTGGGGTCTCACCACCAGCAGTCCCTCTACCCCTGGGGGTCTCACTACCAGCAGCACCTCTACCCCTGGGGGTCTCACTACCAGTAGCCCCTCTACCCCTGGGGTCTCTCACCACCACCAGCAGTCCCTCTACCCCTGGGGTCTCACTACCAGCAGTCCCTCTACCCCTGGGGGTCTCACTACCAGCAGTCCCTCTACCCCTGGGGGTCTCACCACCAGCAGTCCCTCTACCCCTGGGGTCTCGCTACCAGCAGTCCCTCTACCCCTGGGGTGTCTCACTACCAGCAGTCCCTCTACCCCTGGGGTCTCTCACCACCAGCAGTCCCTCTGCCCCTGGGGTCTCTCACTACCAGTAGCCCCTCTACCCCTGGGGTCTCACCGCCACCAGCCCCTCTACCCCTGGGGGGTCTCACCACCAGCAGTCCCTCTACCCCTGGGGTCTCTCACCAGCAGCCCCTCTACCCCTGGGGTCTCTCACCACCAGCAGTCCCTCTACCCCTGGGGTCTCTCACCACCAACAGTCCCTCTACCCCTGGGGTCTCTCACCACCAACAGTCCCTCTACCCCTGGGGTCTCTCACCACCAGCAGTCCCTCTACCCCTGGGGTCTCACCACCAGCAGTCCCTCTACCCCTGGGGTCTCTCACCACCAGCAGCCCCTACCCCTGGGGCCTCTCACTACCAGCAGTCTCTCTACCCCTGGGGTCTCTCACCACCAGCAGTCCCTCTACCCCTGGGGTCTCTCACTACCAGCAGTCCCTCTACCCCTGGGGTCTCACCACCAGCAGTCCCTCTACCCCTGGGGTCTCTCACTACCAGCAGTCCCTCTACCCCTGGGGTCTCACTACCAGCAGTCCCTCTACCCCTGGGGTCTCTCACTACCAGCCGTCCCTCTACCCCTGGGGTCTCTCACCACCAGCAGCCCCTACCCCTGGGGTCTCTCACTACCAGCAGTCCCTCTACCCCTGGGGTCTCTCACTACCAGCAGTCCCTCTACCCCTGGGGTCTCTCACCACCAACAGTCCCTCTACCCCTGGGGTCTCTCACTACCACCAGTCCCTCTACCCCTGGGTTCTCTCACCACCAGCAGCCCCTCTTACCCTGGGGTCTCTCACTACCAGCAGTCCCTCTACCCCTGGGGTCTCTCACCACCAGCAGCCCCTACCCCTGGGGTCTCACTACCAGCAGTCCCTCTACCCCTGGGGTCTCTCACTACCAGCAGTCCCTCTACCCCTGGGGTCTCTCACCACCAACAGTCCCTCTACCCCTGGGGTCTCTCACTACCACCAGTCCCTCTACCCCTGGGGTCTCTCACCACCAGCAGCCCCTCTAACCCTGGGGTCTCTCACTACCAGCAGTCCCTCTACCCCTGGGGTCTCTCACCACCAGCAGCCCCTCTATCCCTGGGGTCTCTCACCACCACCAGCAGTCCCTCTACCCCTGGGGTCTCACCACCACCAGCAGTCCCTCTACCCCTGGGGTCTCTCACTACCACCAGCAGTCCCTCTACCCCTGGGGTCTCTCACTACCAGCATTCCCTCTACCCCTGGGGTCTCTCACCATCAGCAATCCCTCTACCCCTGGGGTCTCTCACCACCAGCAGTCCCTCTACCCCTGGGGTCTCTCACCACCAGCAGTCCCTCTACCCCTGGGGTCTCTCACCACCAGCAGTCCCTCTACCCCTGGGGTCTCTCACTACCACCAGCAGTCCCTCTACCCCTGGGGTCTCTCACCACCAGCAGTCCCTCTACCCCTGGGGTCTCTCACTACCACCAGCAGCCCCTCTACCCCTGGGGTCTCTCACCACCAGCAGTCCCTCTACCCCTGGGGTCTCTCACTACCACCAGCAGTCCCTCTACCCCTGGGGTCTCTCACTACCACCAGCAGTCCCTCTACCCCTGGGGTCTCTCACCACCAGCAGTCCCTCTACCCCTGGGGTCTCTCACTACCACCAGCAGCCCCTCTACCCCTGGGGTCTCTCACCACCAGCAGTCCCTCTACCCCTGGGGTCTCTCACTACCACCAGCAGTCCCTCTACCCCTGGGGTCTCTCACCACCAGCAGTCCCTCTACCCCTGGGGTCTCTCACCACCAGCAGTCCCTCTACCCCTGGGGTCTCTCACTACCACCAGCAGTCCCTCTACCCCTGGGGCCTCACCACCAGCAGTCCCTCTACCCCTGGGGTCTCTCACCACCAGCAGTCCCTCTACCCCTGGGGTCTCTCACTACCACCAGCAGTCCCTCTACCCCTGGGGTCTTTCACCACCACCAGCAGTCCCTCTACCCCTGGGGTCTCTCACTACCACCAGCAGTCCCTCTACCCCTGGGGTCTCTCACTACCAGCAGTCCCTCTACCCCTGGGGTCTCTCACTACCAGCAGTCCCTCTACCCCTGGGGTCTCTCACTACCACCAGCAGTCCCTCTACCCCTGAGGTCTCTCACTACCAGCAGTCCCTCTACCCCTGGGGTCTCTCACCACCAGCAGTCCCTCTACCCCTGGGGTCTCTCACCACCAGCAGTCCCTCTACCCCTGGGGTCTCTCACCACCAGCAGTCCCTCTACCCCTGGGGTCTCTCACTACCACCAGCAGTCCCTCTACCACTGGGGTCTCTCACTACCACCAGCAGTCCCTCTACCCCTGGGGTCTCTCACCACCAGCAGTCCCTCTACCCCTGGGGTCTCTCACCACCAGCAGTCCCTCTACCCCTGGGGTCTCTCACTACCACCAGCAGTCCCTCTACCCCTGGGGTCTCTCACTACCACCAGCCCCTCTACCCCTGGGGTCTCTCACTACCACCAGCAGTCCCTCTACCACTGGGGTCTCTCACTACCACCAGCAGTCCCTCTACCCCTGGGGTCTCTCACTACCAGCAGCCCCTTTACCCCTGGGGTCTCTCACTACCACCAGTCCCTCTACCCCTGGGGTCTCACCACCAGCAGTCCCTCTACCCCTGGGGTCTCTCACTACCAGCAGTCCCTCTACCCCTGGGGTCTCACCACCAGCAGTCCCTCTATCCCTGGGGTCTCTCACTACCACCAGTCCCTGTACCCCTGGGGTCTCTCACTACCACCAGCAGTCCCTCTACCACTGGGGTCTCTCACTACCACCAGTCCCTCTACCCCTGGGGTCTCTCACTACCACCAGTCCCTCTACCCCTGGGGTCTCTCACTACCACCAGCAGTCCCTCTACCACTGGGGTCTCTCACTACCACCAGTCCCTCTACCCCTGGGGTCTCTCACTACCACCAGCCCCTCTACCCCTGGGGTCTCTCACTACCACCAGTCCCTCTACCCCTGGGGTCTCTCACTACCACCAGCAGTCCCTCTACCACTGGGGTCTCTCACTACCACCAGTCCCTCTACCCCTGGGGTCTCTCACTACCACCAGTCCCTCTACCCCTGGGGTCTCTCACTACCACCAGCCCCTCTACCCCTGGGGTCTCTCACTACCACCAGCCCCTCTACCCCTGGGGTCACCATTGTAAGTGGTGCGCTGATGGTGTTTTTAAGTCCTTAGGGAGCCGGTCGGCCGAGCGGACAGCACGCTGGACTTGTGATCCTGTGGTCCCGGGTTCGATCCCAGGCGGCGGCGAGAAACAATGGGGCAGAGTTTCTTTCACCCTATGCCCCTGTTACCTAGCAGTAAAATAGGTACCTGGGTGCTAGTCAGCTTTCACGGGCTGCTTCCTGGGGGGTGGAGGCCTGGTCGAGGACCGGGCCGCGGGGAATCTAAAGCCCCGAAATCATCTCAAGATAACCTGAAGAAGGCGGCTAAACAGGCCAGTAACCGCCCTGTAAGTATACTACTTTACAGAACGTTGACTATTGCGTATGATATTGGGTATACCAATAGTATACTCCACATTCACAGTATATAGGATATACTCTGAATGTGGTGGTGTGAGGCGTTTGTGTGGTGAGGGAGAGTGTGGTATATTGGTGGGTCTCTCTCTCTCTCTCTCTCTCTCTCTCTCTCTCTCTCTCTCTCTCTCTCTCTCTCTCTCTCTCTCTCTCTCTCTCTCTCTCTCTCTCTCTCTCTCTCTCTCTCTCTCTCTCTCTCTCTCTCTCTCTCTCTCTCTCTCTCTCTCTCTCTCTCTCTCTCTCTCTCTCTCTCTCTCTCTCTCTCTCTCTCTCTCTCTCTCTCTCTCCTCCTCTCTCTCTCTCTCTCTCTCTCTCTCTCTCTCTCTCTCTCTCCTCTCTCTCTCTCTCCCCCTCCCCCCCGCCATTAACGACATAATCACCCAACTAAGCACCAATATCACCTCATCACATTAGCTTTAGTTAAATCTCATCTCTCAGGTTGAGTGAGACAAGGACTCTGAGCTCAATGATCGGGGGTTGTTCCTGTGCTCAAGGCTCGCTAATGAAGGAAGCTCATTTGCATCTATTTTTCCTCTCAAGGCGCCACGTATTTACACACATCTTTTGACGAATTAATTCCTAAAAACTACATTTCTCATCAGAAATCACAACGAACCTTTCAAAAGGTTCGGAATTAAATCTTACAAAAGTTTCAGGTCCTTGTTGATAGGACTTAAAACAGTCTGAGATCCCAAGTTCTTTAAAGTTTTTTCGCTTC